CTTGCTATTATAAAACAGTTCCAAAGATTCATATTTTAATATGCCAATCAACACATTTTGTTTTCTGTGGTTTTCTCTCTATTCACGTCTGTGGAATTAGATTCCCAGGTATTTTTGTTCATTTTTAACGTTTTCTAGATGTAAGTTCAGCTTGTTTTTCGTAAAAAGCGACCTCAGGTAGTTGTTTATTGGGTGAACAAAAGGTTCATTTGGTCTATAAAAAAAAACATCTTTTCTTTGCGACATTAAAACATTTTCTTTTCTTTTCGACATTAACTTTACTGTAAAAACTATTTTCCATTTTCTTGGGTTCTCCTTTAGCTGCAAAAAGACGAGAGGTATGGTTATCATCAGCCAGAGAAAATACCCAACATTCAAGCTACTAAGCAAGTACAGAAGTTTAAATATCTGGGAAGTGTTTTAAAAGGAGATGGAAAATATAAATTCGAATGCACTTTCGACGAACTAAAAACGCAGTCGAAAATCTAAACAAAGTGCCGAGAAACAGAAACATTTCGTTAGAAACAAAGGGTTGCTATGTGATATCCGTCTTTTTATCTGGCAGTGAATGATAGACAATCTCACCACAGGTGAAGAGTGACAACAGAAATATAATTCTACAGAAGTATACTGAGAATTCCGAGTGAGTAATACACGAAAACATCAATGAAAATGGCAACGAAAAGAACAATTATACGAAGAATCTGAAAGACACAGGTGAAACTTCTTGGACATATAATATAGCTACCCACCCCCTCTTCGGCAAAATCTTCGAAGCCTTAATCAATACCGAAGTTGTTAACCACCTCACATCCCATGATCTGCTCTCAGACAAGCAACATGGCTTCCGCTTTGCCCGATCTACAGCTGATGTGCTTACGGCCATCACTGAAACTGTCTACCAAGCTCTTCAAAATAACGAGGAAACTCGTGCCGTGGCCCTAGACATTTCCAAAGCGTTTGATAGGGTTTGGCATGCCGGCCTTCTGCGCAAGCTCCAGGGTTATGGCATTACGCGTCGATTGTTTGACCTAATACAATCATTCCTGTCAAACCGTGAATTGAAGGTCGTTCTCAACGGATTCTCCTCCAGTTTCTATCCCACGAATGCAGGTGTTCCTCAAGGCTCCATCCTAGGCCCCATTCTATTCCTTATCTACATAAATGACCTTCCTGACGCTATAATTTCCCAAGTTGGCATCTACGCGGATGACACCACAATTTACTCCTGCCTCAAAATCAAATCTAGTGTCGCTGACAAAACTAACCTGGCCGTGCGTCTCGAAAAGGACCTCCAATCGGTTGTGAACTGAGGCAGGAATTGGCTGGTCAACTTTAATGCCTCAAAAACAAAACTTCTTCCTATTAATCACCACAGAGATCATTTCCTGCCTTCCATTAGAATGTCTGACGCTCAACTTCTCGAGAACACCTCTCTGCGGCTGCTCGGTCTCACTTTGACTGCTGACCTGAGATGGAACAAATACATTGAGTCAATTGCTTCGTCCACCGCAAGGAAAGTTGGCTCCCTGTGCCGCGCCAGGAAATTTTTCTCCCCGGAATCGATCCTTCAGATCTACAAATCAACAATTCGCCCTTTCATGGAGTATTGCTGCCATATATGATCTGGAGCCCCTTCTGTTTGCCTCGGGGTTCTTGATAGGCTCCAGAAGCGGATATGCAATATAATTGGCCATGTTCTGGCATCTCATCAACCGTCACTTTCTCACAGTAAAACTCCCTTCCCTATTCCAGTTTCCCTGAGAGCTATAATCTCCAAATATTCAAATGTAATGTCAATCGACATCTCCAGTTGCCTTGATCTATCCACTACCCTTCTCCTCATCCTTTCCTCTATCACTCCTATCTGATCTTGCTCCAAATCTTCTGTAACCCCTTGCGTCCTAGTGGCTTCCCGCCTTGCTTGGGGTGAAACGCTTAAAAAAAAACCTTCAGAGGGTATAAAGAAGGCAACAAGCCAACTAACTGACTATCTTATATGAATGGATGTCGGAATGGGGTCTGATGACTTATCAAATGGCGAAACACTTCTAAGGGCCACAATGGATAAGAAATTTTGGAAAACGATGATCGTCCATTTTTTGAAGGGTACGCTGTACATAGAAGATTTTTGTTATTATTTTGGCAACTTTACAGTAAAGAACTACTTGAGGTAATCTTTTAACCAAGTTGTAACGATTCTCGCTTTGTCACCGAATAATCATATTTGCTTAACTCCATGCTTATAAAATATTACTTACGTCGGTTCCCTTAATAAATCCCAGAAAATTTGTCATTTGCTGCCTAACTAACATGCCGAAGAAATTGTAGACGACATCTTTCATTTACAGCATCTAATAAGTATTTCCTATTTTCATCTTCCCATATAGTTTTGGCCTAAAATATACTAAGAGCTTCATCTGTGGAGTAACAGATAGCGGCTTGGATTGAGAAATCGAAGAACGGACTTCGAATTCCAGTCGAATCCATTACATTCATTTACGTGCTAATACCCTTGGGAAAGGTATGAATCCTCTTCTTCTCCCCCCAGATATGGGTAAATAGCATGACAGACCGTGTTCTATAGCCTGGGATGTCAACTGGTCTACCGCTGAAAGAAATTGTAACCTACCGCGGGAAAAAAAAATCTGCCTCGTCAATCATGTATCAAAAGATACCTGATCGTCTAAGCGTGTATCACGCATGGCAGATAACTGTCTGTTTCACCTTCAGACATCCTACTGAAATTGACTTCCTTTCCGTTTAAGCCTTACCAATGTTTAATGAATTAAACAATTAATGTTTACATATAGATTTAACTATTACCCTGGCCATTGTCTACATCTAGGCACAAGTATTAGCACGATTAATTCTTATCTATATTTAAGGCATTGTAAGCGATTTCAATCTGCGCACAATATTACTTTTACTTTTTTCTTACAGAAGACATAATACAAGTTGTGACGCAGGAAGTTTCATGTCAAGGTGGTCCGTCTGATTCAGTGAAAAAAAAATAATCGCTTCAGATCTTAATTTTGACTTTAATCGTTAATCGTTGATTTCTTTTGAAAAGCGCCAACACACGTCAGCATTCTCTCGCATTTCGTTTGTTGTAACCTTTCAAAATGTTAAACACTTTTATGGTCAAGTAGGAAGCATCGACACAGAAATAATATATTTCACTTTTTTTTATCCTTTCATCCCAAGCATGGCAACACAGCCACTAAGACGCAAGGGTTTACTGAGTGTGAGATAATATGAGAAAAATAAAACATTATTAAGGAAAGAGAATGGAAGAACAGGAATTACAAAGACAGAAAAGAACGATTGAAATTGAAACTTTTGAGGATAAAGCTTGATTCGAAAGCAAGATGCCGGAAGTGATTTTAACAAGCGAGAAGTACGAGAGAAGAACTTAATTCTAGTCATCAGTTTTCTAAATTTTCATATTCTTTCGAATGTCCAGGTTTTGAAGGAAAAAAAATCATGAATTTATTTGACGGATCGTTGTGACAGTGCACAAACTCAGGCGTCTATAAGTTAATACATCCGTAGACAAGCATCCTTTGATTGGGTACCATGTAAAATCAATCCGTTCAGTCGGCTTACGAGATATGCAAAATGGCTGTATATTTCATAGACAGACCTTATAAAACTAGCCATCAAATTTTGGTTAAAGTTTACGGCCACATCACGGTGAAACACCTTTCTCGTACGATCACCAAAGTTAGGCAAAGTCAAGCCTAGTCAGCAAATAAATTGGTGACTGCTTGGGAATACTAGCTGCTATAAGCTTGGATGTTCGGGTGGTGTAAAGGAAAATGGCTCGGAACTGTTAATCGGAGACCCGGGTTTCAATTCCTGTTTGTAATATTCACTAACGTGCACATATCCTTGAGAATGGTATGAATCCACCTCTTTCCCCCACCAGCTATGGGTTAATTATTAAGATGGTTATTGAAACTTGTCTCTCCGATTAACAATTTCGAGACAATGTCTATTTCACCACCCACACATCCAACCTTACCCCACCTGGTATTCCCAAGCGGTTATACATCTAGGTAGACGCAGTTGTAGGATATATCGATTTTCTAAGCGTAGCTTAGATGCGGCACAAGGCCGAAGGTATAGTGCACCCAATGAGGACCGAACTCATTACTCAGTCGTAATTGTTCTAGGAAGAGAAGCTTGCTAACCATTACGCCAAGCTGAGGTGCCCAAACGCAGCTGTAGGACATATACTAAACTCCATTTGGTTCAACTAGCGAACTGGTTTACGAGTCTCATTGTGTGTCATGGCACTCAGGTAACGCCATAAAACTTGTGCTTCATAGAGACAACATCTAATTAAAAAAAAGGAAAACAAAAACACAATCTCTTCAATGAAGAGGCGGGAAGAGACTAGGCCAGTCGTACCTTTTAAGAACTCCGGCTGTGTTTTAAGTTCATCGAATCACCGAGTGCATCGATTGCACTTGTCTGTTGGCGGTGAATAATCAGTTCATCGCCGTTAAACTCGTATTAAGACCAACTTGTTCAAAACCAAATGCAAATGGCTACCAAATGAAACGTACAACAATAAAAGGCTTTGAATCTTGACGCATCAGAACAAGAAAGAAATGCTCATAAACGAAAATGATATCGATTATGAACTTAATGACTCCAAACATCAACGTAACCAGAAAGAAAGGGCGTGGCTTGGAGAAATCATGAAGATACAAAACAAATAATATTTGTTTTCTCACCGACCGTCAGCTAAGTTTGTTTCTAACTGATTTTTGTCGAAACCTAAATATTTTGTACGCAATTTTAGATAATAAGGGTTATAATAATACAAGACTTACTAATTAACCCATGGCTGGGAGGAGAAGTGGTGGATTCATACCTTTTTCAAGGGTATTTGCGCGTAAGTGGATATAAGGAACTCAAGAAGAATTGGAACACTGCTCTCCGATTAACAATTACGAGCGGTTGTAAATTACACCACCCGCACAACCGAGCTTACAGCACCTGACATTCTCAAACAGTCATCAATCTTGGTACTGACCAAGCTCAACGTTGCTTAACTTCGGTGATCGTACGGGAACCGGTGTTTCAACGTGATATGGCCGTAAAACATACTACATATACATTCAAACTTACAGAACATGGTATTCCCAAGCGGTCACTCATCGAGATATAGATCAGGCTCGACGTTGCTTAACTTCGGTGATCGTACGGGGAACCGGTGTTTCAACGTGATATGGCCGTAAAACATACTACATATACATTCAAACTTACAGAACATGGTATTCCCAAGCGGTCACTCATCGAGATATAGATCAGGCTCGACGTTGCCCAACTTCGGTGATCGTACGGGAACCGGTGTTTCAACGTGATATGGCCGTAAAACATACTACATATACATTCAAACTTACAGAACATGGTATTCCCAAGCGGTCACTCATCGAGATATAGATCAGGCTCGACGTTGCTTAACTTCGGTGATCGTACGGGAACCGGTGTTTCAACGTGATATGGCCGTAAAACATACTACATATACATTCAAACTTACAGAACATGGTATTCCCAAGCGGTCACTCATCGAGATATAGATCAGGCTCGACGTTGCTTAACTTCGGTGATCGTACGGGAACCGGTGTTTCAACGTGATCGTACGGGAACCGGTGGCCGTAAAACATACTACATATACATTCAAACTTACAGAACATGGTATTCCCAAGCGGTCACTCATCGAGATATAGATCAGGCTCGACGTTGCTTAACTTCGGTGATCGTACGGGAACCGGTGTTTCAACGTGATATGGCCGTAAAACATACTACATATACATTCAAACTTACAGAACATGGTATTCCCAAGCGGTCACTCATCGAGATATAGATCAGGCTCGACGTTGCTTAACTTCGGTGATCGTACGGGAACCGGTGTTTCAACGTGATATGGCCGTAAAACATACTATATACATTCAAACTTACAGAACATGGTATTCCCAAGCGGTCACTCATCGAGATATAGATCAGGCTCGACGTTGCTTAACTTCGGTGATCGTACGGGAACCGGTGTTTCAACGTGATATGGCCGTAAAACATACTACATATACATTCAAACTTACCCAAGAACATGGTATTCCCAACGTTACTTTAACTTCGGTCACTCATCCGTAGAACATACTATAGATCCCAAGGCTCACTCATCGACGTTGCGTTAACTTCGGTGATCATTGCAGGAACCGGTGTTTCAACGTGATATGGCCGTAAAACATACTACATATACATTCAAACTTACAGAACATGGTATTCCCAAGCGGTCACTCATCGAGATATAGATCAGGCTCGACGTTTATACTTAAACTTCGGTGATCGTACGGGAACCGGTGTTTCAACGTGATATGGCCGTAAAACATACTACATATACATTCAAACTTACAGAACATGGTATTCCCAAGCGGTCACTCATCGAGATATAGATCAGGCTCGACGTTGCTAACTTCGGTGATCGTACGGGAACCGGTGTTTCAACGTGATATGGCCGTAAAACATACTACATATACATTCAAACTTACAGAACATGGTATTCCCAAGCGGTCACTCATCGAGATATAGATCAGGCTCGACGTTGCTTAACTTCGGTGATCGTACGGGAACCGGTGTTTCAACGTGATATGGCCGTAAAACATACTACATATACATTCAAACTTACAGAACATGGTATTCCCAAGCGGTCACTCATCGAGATATAGATCAGGCTCGACGTTGCTTCGGTGATAATACTTCGGTGATCGTACATACTACGGAACCGGTGTTTCAACGTGATATGGCCATCATCGAAAACATACTACATATACATTCAAACTTACAGAACATGGTATTCCCAAGCGGTCACTCATCGAGATATAGATCAGGCTCGACGTTGCTTAACTTCGGTGATCGTAAAACATACTACATATAACCGGTGTTTTCAACGTGATATAGATCAGGCCGTAAAACATACTAACATATACATTCAAACTTACAGAACATGGTATTCCCAAGCGGTCACTCATCGAGATATAGATCAGGCTCGACGTTGTGGCTTAACTTCGGTGATCGTACGGGAACCGGTGTTTCAACGTGATATGGCCGTAAAACATACTACATATACATTCAAACTTACAGAACATGGTATTCCCAAGCGGTCACTCATCGAGATATAGATCAGGCTCGACGTTTTAACTTCGGTGATCGTGCGGGAACCGGTGTTTCAACGTGATATGGCCGTAAAACATACTACATATACATTCAAACTTACAGAACATGGTATTCCCAAGCGGTCACTCATCGAGATATAGATCAGGCTCGACGTTGCTTAACTTCGGTGATCGTACGGGAACCGGTGTTTCAACGTGATATGGCCGTAAAACATACTACCGGTATACATTCAAACTTACAGAACATGGTATTCCCAAGCGGTCACTCATCGAGATATAGATCAGGCTCGACGTTGCTTAACTTCGGTGATCGTACGGGAACCGGTGTTTCAACGTGATATGGCCGTAAAACATACTACATATACATTCAAACTTACAGAACATGGTATTCCCAAGCGGTCACTCATCGAGATATAGATCAGGCTCGACGTTGCTTAACTTCGGTGATCGTACGGGAACCGGTGTTTCAACGTGATATGGCCGTAAAACATACTATATATACATTCAAACTTACAGAACATGGTATTCCCAAGCGGTCACTCATCGAGATATAGATCAGGCTCGACGTTGCTTAACTTCGGTGATCGTACGGGAACCGGTGTGCCAACGTGATATGGCCGTAAACCAAACTGCACATACATTCAAACTTACAGAACATGGTATTCCCAAGCGCTCACCCATCTAGGTATAGACCAGGCTCGACGTTGCTTAACTTCGGTGATTGTACGGGAACCAGTGTTTTAACGTGATGTGGCTGTATTTTGTTGACTAGTTTTATGAGGTCTGTCCGTAAAATATACAGCCATTTTGCACATCTCGTAAGCCAAATGCAGGGATTGATTTAATTTGGCATGCAATCTAAGGATGCATTAACAGCTAGCCTCCTATGTCGTTCGACGGTCGGAAATAAGATGCCACTATCTCCGTTTGTGCACCATCACATTCAAAAATGACCCGGCGAGGAAAGGAAAACTTCAAAAGTTGCACACTCGAAAGAGGTAATAATGCTTACAAATCCGAATGAACCGTAAGTTCTATGTTAACAGTTTCTTCTCTCACACTTCTCACATGTGAAACTCTCTCCCAGCTATTTGCTTTCCAGTCAAGTTTTATGTTCAAAAGTTGAAATGCAGTGTCAGTCGTTCTATTCTGTCTGATGCTGAGTGCCCTGCACATATAATCCTGTACCAGAGTAAACGAAACGTATTAAATATCAATGTAAGTGACTCGTAAATGATCAGTGGATTTTCGGGTAGTGTAACGGTTATTGGTGCTGAAAGTAGTTCCAGTTGCGAACTTGCCTGTTACGCTCACTTTCCCGCAAATACTTTTTCCCCATCGCCAGCTCTGGATTATCTAGGAGAAGAGACTGGTTGACAATAACTCAAAGAGAACGAAAATCTCTGAATTCCAAGCAGTTTGAGAAAACAAACTATTCCACTACCTTTCCCGAAGAATGCATAGCAATTCACAGATAATAAAGAAGATGAATATGTGGAGAGTCATGACCGTCTACGCCTTGAAGGGACATTAAAGAATTTTGAAGTAGACCACTAGCTTGACTCAAAATCTTTTACGATAGTAGAGATTTTTCAGACTCTCACTATGCTCCAAAACTTTAACCTTGTACCAGACTAACTAGATTCTACTGTTATTAAAATCACAACGATCTTGTATTTTTTTTCCTAAGCCGTGTGACTTTAGGTTGTAAACAAACAATGTTCCTCACAACACTATTCTTTGTATCTTTTAGTCATGTCAGCCCCTTGCTGTAATTTCGAGGTCCTGTTCTCGCATCCAGTTAGGTAGCTTACTTGATATTTCCCTCTATCTTGACTATACTACTTCGTATGAGTGTCAAATTCTCCAAGCCGTTTTTCCTCATTATGTATTCCTGAAATTTCAACTGACAATTTTTGATTCTTCTTACGATTTCCTTTCGTTGATATTTTCCTTATCCCCTGCTATATTTAAATGTAAATATCAACTTTAGAAGTTTACTAACGAAGATTAATTTAGCCTAATGGGGATATACATTAGAAAATTGAAGAGTATGCAACGCCATTTCTTGATGTACAAATGGCTTCTTCTCTTGAAAGAGGAATAGCATTCCAAATTCGAACCTGTGGCACCATTTAGCACCCAGTGAGTTTGATTCTCACTAGGTGTTTCATACTTTCGGCCTTGTGCTACATCTAAGCTACTTTTACTAAATCACTATCCTTTGGCATCATGAAAAATTATGCTGGGATCGAACTTTCCAATTACGAGCAAGTTGTGAAATTTAAATCTTAGTTATAAACGATATTGATGTCCATAATGTCAATATATAGCAATGTCTAAAGGTAATTCTAGGTAGTGTCTTTCTATTTTGACGTCATGAAAATGTCCAGACATATATCACTGACGTTCTGCCGTATGGTCAGACGGTATGGAAATCGGTTAAGTTACTCATGCTAAAGCGATCTGAATTATCGGAAGCTGATAGTATGTCACAGACGGATGGAGAATTCCCTTTTTGAAATTGTGGGGACATCACTCTTCGGTGTCCTTTGTGTAGCGAGACTACCCGATAGAAGACATTACCACCTGTCGTTGACAACTCAGTGACCGACTACAGACCCTTAGTAATCGAAAAGAGTGCCATATAGTTAGAAACGTCTACGCTAAACAGAAAGTGACACAGATAAGCTGAAATGACATTCAATGCAAAAGATTCTAGACGGATGGCTGCCAAGTCAGATCAGTCTTCTTTTGCTTCCTTGGAATTAAAACAAAAATGCTATTTACATATAAATCTAGCTACGATGGAGTAACGGATAGCTGCTCGGGTTGGAGAATCGGAGAGCCGAGTTCGAATTCCAGCCAAATCCATTACATTCATTTACGTGCTAATATCCTTAGGAAAGGTATGAACCCTCTTCTACTCCCCCATTCACCAGCTTTGGGTAAATAGCAGAACATACTAGGTTCTATAGCCTTGGATGGCAACAGGTCTACCGCAGAAAGAAATGGCAACCTACTGCGGGAGAAAATTTGCCTCATCAGTCATGTATCGAAAGATAAATGATCGCCTAAGCTTGATCACGCATAGCACATAACTGACCATAAAGTTTTAAGGAAAATGGGAACAAAAGGCCACATCTACTTAGAATCTAAGTAGAAGTGGCTTTTAGTCCCATTTTCAGTTATGTCACAAAGCGAATGTTCTAATTTCTGGGATACATAATCTGGAAAATTGTTTGTAGAATTTGACAAATTAAAGTTACGATATACCGTAGAATGATGTGACATATCTACCAATCTAGTAGTACGTTTTAATTCATACTTTTGATGCACCAAAGAGGAAAGGTCATCAGAACAATTCCATGGATATATTTATAGAAAAGGTACAAAGAATCTACTTTACGGTGGTGTGAAATTGATTGAAACCGAGATACCCTGTCAGGACATAACAGGCATATTCTTCTTCCGACTTTTTCACATACATAGGTGTCTATATCATGTCTTTTGGCATATCCCTATAGAAAAAGGAAAAATTGTAAAATCTGAAATTATAGCTTTTTCTTAGACTCGAACCCGGATATCTGGCCCCGGTGTTAGCTATTTACTCGGGCCACCAGAAGTCTGATTAAAATAAACATAGATTAAATGGCGCGGAATAATAGGGCGGCTAGGTAATCCTCTTTGCAGATGCCTGCTCAGGCATATTTGTGTTTTTTCAACACCCACAGACCCAACCTATGTTTTATACTGCAACTATACTGAGCAGACCTTAGTTACAATTTCTGGGAGAGAGCGTGTTATCTAGCGGGATCAACAGCCTGATCAAGGCAAGCACACTCAAACTCTCAGTCAACCACCGACGGATTCCAAGGATTCCGTCTACCCAATTTCACTCACAGGGCATAGGTCAACCCGTAATTTGGTTTTTCCGGCACTTTTCAAAGGAGCCGTACACTGGGAATGCCTCCTCCAGACTGATAACATGAAGTCTTCTTCCTGACAAATCGACCATGGTGAAATTCGAACCCGGGTCTTATGGTTAGAAAGCGAACATTCTAACGTACCCATAAGCATAGACTATATATTTGGTCTGGAGCTACCTAGTCTTCATTCTTTAGCGTTGATAGATTTCAAAATAGTTTACGTGGTTCTGTAGGAATTTAATTGTTTTCCACTCTACAGATCTTTTCGTCGCGGAAATTTCGTTGCAAGACTGGCTTCTTGTTTCTTATCGCTATTTCCATAGTAAATCTTAATATTAGCTCCGCTCTTGACTTCCACCAGTTCAGACATTTACTACTAAGTCTCGCAATGCTACGCCCAAAAAGTCGAATGACTCACTTATCCTCCATATTGTATTTATAATGAAGAAGTTCCATCCAGGGAGATTTTCCTTAAAACTGCTGCTTTGTGGAACAAACTCCCGTGTGGATGCGTCCCTGAATACTACCATCTTAACCTCTTCAAATCAACTCTCAATCGCCATCTATCCTCGTAATCTTCACTTCCTTCTCACCTTCTCTTACATTCATATCGAACACGTCATTCAGTGATCGTGTACCACGAGTGATTTTCGAGCCTTGTACTGGGTGAAGTCTAATTTTGAATAAGTCATTTTTGATCTTTGGATTTTATCAAGAACTAGCAGCATGGTCCGGCGTTGCCCGTCCTTGATTCAAAAATCGTACGACTCATACAGCAATCGCTATCACTTAATATATTTTTGCCCTTCCTTGCCTTTAAAGGAGTGCCCTTTTCCGTGATGATGTTGCTACATGCCTTACTTCTTGCCTATCTCACACTGCGAATTTTTTCTAAGCTCTATACTAAACATTAAATCTGTTACGAAAAAACGAACTAAACAAAATGAACACAAAACGATCAGCTTTAAAAAAGGACTCTTAACTGGAAAAACGGAATGAAAACAATACGAATAGACAGTTAACAGTTAACAACAAATACTTTTTCACACCCAACCCAGTTCTGCGGAATCAGAATCAACGTTGAGTTTAAGCAAGCGAATGAGCCAATTGGAGTAAAGTGCCATGCAGATTTAAATTTTTCACTCTTGTGACGAGTGCAGCTATCGATTTTTTTTTTTGCAAGCTAGCATGCTAGTTAACATTCGTGTCAGTCAGCTGTTGGCTATCACGCTGGCCAATAGAATCTTCCTGCCTATTTGTGGCAGCCAGCTATAGGCTCTCAGTCTGGCCATTCGAAAATGGCCGAAAACTACATGAAAACTGCCGTAGAAGCATGAAAAAATCGATTATTTCCACTATCGTTGGGAGTTGGCAAATGCAAAGTCTGTCTTGTCCTTCCTGCTAACTTGGAGCATGTGCATGTAAATTTTGGTGCAAATCCGTCGAAAATTGCGGCCGTGCATTCGTTACACACACACATCCTGCCTTTTGTAGATATAATATATATATATATATATATATATATATATATATATATATATATATATATATATATAAACATCCTGCCTTTTATAGATAGAGATCACTAAATATATAGTAGAAGCGCCTGACTAGACGTCATATATTCAATTCATGTACAAATGAGCGACTTATGAATGACAAGAAAAATTGTCTCGCACTCTTTTCCCACTGTGTAAGAATTGAGGTCTATCTGCATCTGGATGGGTTTTCATATCATTATCAAATCGGAAATTGTAGTAGTTTTCATAAATTTGCGTAACTGTTCTTCTCTGATGAATATCCGTGTTTCTCATGAACTAGAAAA